TCTTTTACGTGCCGTAAATCTACGACACGGGACCCACGGCTTAAAGTCCCTCCAGGAGGACTTGTTCCCTGAATTTTTCCGCCCTTAAAAATTCCACGACCTCCGCCGGGTTTGAACCCGCGTACCTTGAGTCATGAGGTGGGAACGTTACTCCTAGACTACGGAGGCCGCTGACATTTTACTAACTAGTTATATGAATTTTGGAACAACCTTTCTAACGATCAGACTAAATATATTTCTAATGGGGATGTAACAATCTACGTCACTATCTGATGATGACGTACCCTGAAGATGTTTCAGACACAGTATACGTACCGTCAGAGAAGTGGCAACCATGCTTCTGAAGAACCCCTCGATGGTTTTCCCGGACATGAGCATGGGTACTCTTTGGGCCAGACAGACAAGCAAACCTCCGAGGAACAATCCTATATTTGCCAAGAAACATATCTTTCGGCGTCCCCAGTGATCAATCATTGTTCCCCCTATAAGACAGCCGAGCGGACCTGCCCCTGCATTCAGGCTAACTGAAATACATAAATCCAGGTCAGGTAGCTTTCGTTATCCCTGGCAAAACTTCTTGCAGTTAATGTTTAAAGGATCTGAGTCAAGCTCATCAGCCTGGGTGTCACGTTAGAGAAACAATTTCATGCGCGTTCGAAATGAAGTATTATGTATATATATTCTGCTCCACGTATGCCCGTATGTCTGTCTCTATGAATGCATTTAAATAAAATTTGGTATTGGAGAGTCCTCTAAAATTTATCGAAACTTCCTAATTTGGCTTAATTAGTAAGTAATAAAATGGAGCTTTCATATATTAAAAAATTATATTTCCTGTTTATTTATCTATTTATCGCCGAATGATAGGACGATCCTTGAATGATGAATCGGAAAGGATTCTGAAGGAAGCGGCTTTGGTGTAAAAGAGTACTATCACACCATTTGTCTGGAGTGACTGAGGAAATCGACGGAAACTCTCATTCAGTATTGGCGGTGTCGGCGTCGACATTTGAACGTAGCCGCTCTCGAAAACGAGTCTGGAGATTTACCGCTACGCTAGACCGTTCGGTATTTTGGCTAAAATCGGGTCGATATATTATGAACCTTCCATGAAGACCTACGTAAGCTGCATGGCCCATCTCGAGAGTAACATGCTATATACATATTGTGACGTGGACGGCGCAACGCTCGGTAAACACCCCCCCCTCCAGCGGTGACGTAACAGCATCGGAGCAACTGCCGCTGCTACGGTAACAGGCCAGTCAACACTCCGTCCCCCTCCCCCACAGTGATGTAACAGCACTTCCCACAGCGACGTAACAGGGGACACCGCGGTTACTAAGCAGCAATAAACAACTCTCGGCAGCGTTCCCCAGCAACGCCTGTAAACACGGCGTTTACGCAACAGTGGTAGCTATCACGTAACTGTTTACTGTGTTGTCAGTGCGGAAGCTGCATGACAGGAGAATTACCAGAGTAACCAGTCAGTTGCAGTCTAGCATTCACCGGAGTGAATGGAAGCAAGAGAAGTAATTGTGATACTGCAGATGGCAGTAGTGGTGTAATTGTGAATTGTATGATTGTGAGAGGGAGTGTTCAATAAATTCGTTAGATCCAATACGGCGTGAAGTTATTTGTCGCGTGATATATACCCAACACCTGTCAATTTGGTGTCAGAGTTGGTTTACGAACTTATACGAATATATATACACACACAAAACAAACTCCGTGGTTTGAGTCCGCAAGCGAACTATACCGACAGAGCGACCGTCGCTTGTCCGCGAAGTTAGTGCCAACTTTAGCGGATAGAGGGAGTCGCGTGCTCAGCGCAACTTATCCCCACGGGCGTTAATCTCTGTTTTCTCGATCGGAGCAGCTATTTATCCTCACGAGGCTGAGTGGACCCCGTTCTAGACCCACTACTTCTCAGAAAATCTGGTAGCGCCGGGAATCGAACCCGGGACCTCTGGATCTGTAGCCAGGAACTGTGACCACTAGACCACAGAGGCTGTCTATAGCGACGTTTAAAACCGCACTGAATCTGTAACGGATAGCAAGACGTCTGCAGTTTCTACGCAGCCGAAAATTGTGATGGACGAGTGAACAATCCTATTTCTGATTTCTATCTAGTCCCGGAGGCCGTCAATCCAGACTTAGATCTTTCCTGTGTTTCCCCAGTCTCTGCAAGTTAATATGATATAGTACCTCAAAATGGGCCACGACCGCTTCCTTCAAAACTTATTATTCATTAATCAATGAACCTACCATTCGCCGCCATACAGTCTGTGTTACTGATTGTGTCCTTTAATGAACTATAAATATCAAGACTTTCCGTTGGCTTTTCAACGGACATTACAGTATTACACATTAACATTTACTTATCCAAGAGGTGGTATCTTCGTCTACGTAGAGGCTGCTGTTGGCTGCCTGGAGCCGGGGCAGCAGAACCGCCGAGTGCCCTAGGGACATGCCGAAGGAGATGCCCACCAGGAGACATGCAGAGACAACTGTGACCTGCGCACAAGTTCGCGTAATCAGCATGGAACCGCCATATCTGGCTCGCTGTAGTCAGTAGGCTACGGGCTGGGTGGCCGAGGAATCGGGGTTGAATTCTCGATCTACTTCTGAACTGGAACGTCTGCCTAGTTCTGAACTGGAGAGTCTGCCTACTTCTGAACTGGAGTGCCTGCCTAGTTATGAACAGGAGTGCCTGCCTAGTTCTGAACTCGAGAGTCTACCTAGTTCTGAACTGGAACGTCTGCCTACTTCTGAACTGGAGAGTCTACCTAGTTCTGAACTGGAACGTCTGCCCAGTTCTGAACAGGAGAGTGTACCTAGTTCTGAACTGGAACGTCTGCCTACTTCTGAACAGGAGTCTACCTAGTTCTGAACTGGAGTGCCTGCCTAGTTCTGAACAGGAGTCTACCTAGTTCTGAAATGGAACGTCTGCCTACTTCTGAACAGGAGTCTACCTAGTTCTGAACTGGAGTGCCTGCCTACTTCTGAACTGGAGTGTTTCCCTAGTTATGAACAGGAGAGTCTACCTAGTTCTGAACTGGAACGTCTGCCTAGTTTTGAACAGGAGAGTACCTAGTTATGAACTGGAACGTCTGCCTAGTTCTGAACTGGAGAGTCTACCTAGTTCTGAACTGGAACGTCTGCCTAGTTCTGAACTGGAGAGTCTACCTAGTTCAGAACTGGAGTCTGCCTACTTCTGAACTGGAGTGCCTGCCTAGTTATGAACAGGAGAGAGTACCTAGTTCTGAACTGGAAAGTCTGCCTAGTTCTGAACAGGAGAGTCTACTTAGTTCTGAACAGGACTGCCTGCCTAGTTCTGAACTGGAGAGTCTACCTAGTTCTGGAATGCCATGTGCACCAGCACAGGGGGACCCATGGTCTGCTCACAACAGACTGCAGGAAGCACCAGAGATTCACAGACCCGACAGGCGATGTGTGGAGGCTGTGCAGAGAATGTGACTTCGGCAGCTACCATTGAGTATCTCACGCGCCATCTTTATTCCTACACACGTGACCTACTCTGTTGGGCGGTAGGGTGCTTAGTGACGTTCGCAGAGTTGTTATGCATCAGAGATGCTATTACTGTTGTCGATGGTACGGAAATAAAAGCCATAATTTGCTGATAATTTCTGTTATCCTTTACAAAATGTAAGGGCGAGCTTCCGCGTCCATTTCTTGTGCCACTCTCGATAACGGAAAGACGCGAAGATATCTACAGTTCATCGGGGTTATCACGTGTTTGTGTTCTGTTCATACCGATCCCAGACTTGCGCAGTAGACTCGAGGAGTGCACGTGGTCACGGATATCACAATAAAAGGGAAACTGAGGTGGCGTGACAGACTTCTCACACATTTCCGTCAATGAGACACCGGAGCACCCAAGTACTACGTTAGTCGGTATTTCTTTCGTATACTGTTTAACGACGGTATCGGCGTTGTGGTGTAGAGACCTGTTACTAGGTAGCGACCGAGAAAGAAACAACGAAACCGCATTCGCTGCTGGGCAACGGATTTTAATAAGCAAGAATATACGGCCGTTGCTAGGGAATGACTCGGTAAACAAGTTCCCATGGCTACGGATAAGCATGCAACAAACGAGGTACTGTTGGAAACTGTGTTTTTTACTGCTGAGGGGTTATAAGGACGATTGAAACAAGAATTCAGAGATGGCAATGTGCTGCCATTCGGAACGAACTTGACCCCGGAAGTAAAGGAATAGTTATTGTTAGAAGCCGGTGCCAGGTAACGTCTAATGAAGATGCTGTAGGCTGGAAAAGATTTTGCGTGTACGTTAGCGATTTGTAAATTGTGGAAATTAGTGATGGCGCTATAATTACTCGTAGTTGCGTGTCGTGTGTATAAGTAGTCGATAAATCCACTGTCAAATCCAAAACCCCGTCGAGAGTCACACTCATACCACGGGGCAGTACATAGACTGTACAGCAAGGGATGATGGGATGGCTAATAAATTGGAAAGGATTTGGAAGGAAACCCGCGTGGCCTAATCCAGACAGATCACGGAATTTGATGGAGGGACTGAGGAAAATTATTAGGAGCTTCCGTCACGATAGGCAGTGTCCCGGATGAGATTCGAACAGAAGGCCTCCCGAAAATAATTCCAGAGCCTTATCGCTATGATAACCCACTTCTTCGCTTTAGCCCTTAGTCCTTGATATTAATTGGCTATGGTTCTTCAGTCACCGAGAAAGATTATAACAACAAATATGTTATTTTAATGACTTTCGAGCAACAATAGCAGATGGAGAAATAATATTAAAATGGATTTTAGAATAATACTTAAAGTGTGTTACACTGATGACCACTAAGAAGAAGATATAGATATATAGATATAGCTGCAAAACAAATTGAACCTTGAAATTAATTTAAGTAACAGACCCTACAAATTCAGTTCCTACCTCACAGTAAACACAGTACTTTTACGCTACAACGACCACTCGGTTTAAGGGAATAATTACTGTTTATTCTGATAACCGCAACAAAACACATACATGCACTGTGTGGGCAAAATAGAGTTTGGTAAGATTGAAAGAGGTGGTACACATAGTAACCATTATGCTCATTATGGAAGACGGAGATTGGGAGGTTACTGTAGGAACGGAAAACGGAAAACACATGGAGGGATAAACCGATAAAGAAGAAACAGAGAAAGAGAGAGAAGTGGTGGGTGCAGACTTGAAGAATTCGTTTCAAGATAGGTTCCAGCGGTGGGCCTGTTTTGAAACACTATAATGAACTTTCGAGTTCTATAGTAGGCGGTTGCAATGGCTTCTCAGGAATGGCTCTGCTCCATGAAATAGAATACAAGATATACTGTGTCATGTTTCCTCTTGAACTCTTGCGTACATCTACGTCAAAAGAATTTGTTTACTGTTACACTCGACTAACCCTCTGCAACAAATTGGTCGTTGTGTAACCTGTTTCACCATTCAAGAAGTTCGTAACTTTCTTCGTGGGCTACGGAATTCGCAATAAACAAGAACTATTTCTTTAAACAGCACCAACCAGCGTAACGCCCTCGGAACATGTTTCCTGTGAGGTACAAACTGAATACTTATATATAGTTTAAACAAATATTATAATTCAATCCTGCGACCGACCGTCTAGACACACGTGTTCTTGGTTTTACTTTGTCTTCACGCAAATATTTACATGGTTCCCAAATTCCAAGTTACTACTGCAAGCTTCTCTTGCACGCCTCCCGAATTAAATTCATCAAAATTATTTTTCCATATTATGCAATTCGACATTAATTGTATCTATGGCTCTACAGCCTTTTGTTGGTCCTTGGCCGTCTTTTAAGTTTCTTGATCTCTTACACAGTCGGTAGGACTCCTTGGACGGGTGATCAGTCTTTTGCAAGGCCGCTACGTACACGCAGGACAGCATAAACACAGAATAAACGCGCACAGACATCCATACCTTGAGTGGGATTCGAACCCACGACCCTAGTGTTCGAGCGGGCGAAGACAGTTCATTCCTTACACAAGGCGACCACTGTGATTGCAGGAAATCAAAATAACCACGGCCGCTGTCTTAAGCCACAATTTTTAATTACTCTAAATTATTCGCTTTCATATTGCCATTATCAAAAGGACAAGGGCGCGAATCCTGGGGATTTTGCAATGAAATTATGCTCTTTTTCTCAACCCCCCCCCCAAAATACAGTAAAATATCTCCACTTCTCCCACTATTTTTTCCTTTCACCGACTATTTTACTGTTCTACATCTCAATTTTTTCCCTGATGCTTAAAAAAGTTACCGTAACTTAAATAACTTACCTGGGACCTAAAATCTCTACGAGCTGTCTTGTTTCCTTCTCTTTCAACAACATTTTCTACTGTGGGTTTGTAGGCAGAGGAGTCCCTCAGCTCCATGTTGTGTTTATGAATGCTGAAAATTAAAATCCCGTAACTTAGACCCGTCGTTTCCTGTTTTGGTGCCTGCCAAAAGTTTCAGCTAATTCCACAGCAAAGAGTCCAGCATCTTGCTAGATGGGATTAACATTTAGCACAAACAGAACCACAGACGGAACGACAACTACGTCATAACAAGAAGATGTGGCAGGACAGAAGATACAGGACACGATACAACACACAAAGTAACTCTGCCGCCATCACTGAAAATTAAATAGAACACAATTTTATATACACGTACATGCGGAAAACCGCCATGTAATGGGTGCACAAAGAATTGCAAAACAAAGCAGTTTCCCATAAAACCCATCAACTCTACGATACAATAACATAGACTTGTACTCCACACTAAATAATATGGGTGGAAAAATTAACTTTCATATTTCAACCAAATTATCAAGTTTTACATTTTACGGCTGATATCCAAATTATAACGAAACACAGATAATGTAATTAAATTCATAATAATAATAATTATTAATATGGCTCCACACGCGCCATAGCTCAAGCGGTTAGTCGCTGGCTTCCCACCGCGGCGGCCCGGGTTCGATCCCGGGTCTGGTCAAGTGGGATTTGTGGTGGACAAAGTGGCGCTGGGGCAGGTTTTCTCCGAGTACTTCGGTTTCCCCTGCCAATCTTCATTCCAGCAATTGCTCCACAATCACCCTCACCTATCATCTGGGGCTGGTACAATAGGCTAGAAGTAGCCGCAGTACAAGGGACTTAGTCCCACCCCACTAGCAATAAAAATAATAAAATAATAATATGGATCCACATTAGAAATATATAGAAATACAATTCAATAATGAAGAGTATGTTTCATTAAAAGTTGCCTGATGATGATCCAGCTGGAGGTAAACATGTAGTAAATGTACATAATAAAACTAATGATAATATAATAATATTGGTTTATTTATTATGCATTTGTTGTGTTGACGGTTGTATAATCATGCCGTTTAGAATATAAATCGAGGACTTCAGACACATCCCTAATTAAGGAAGAACACGGCTTAATTTAATAGAATTGATGACATTATAAATAAACAATTTTTATCGTCCTCTCATATACAAATCTATATTGTCAAGTGATAGAGTGACTATAGATGGGAATTTTGATTGGTAATCGGATTTATTGAACACTTATAGGTCATAACTAAAAATAATTAGGGCGATCTTACTAATTCACACACTCAGCATTTCACTACAGCACGTACTAAGCATTCTCAGCCTGCTGTGTCTTCGTGAACCGTTGTCTGGTGAAGACTTCCAACGCTGTAGATTTCCCAACTTCCGTGCTCACTTCCTTACTAACCGGCGAATGTCTCACACCTAGTAAACTCTAGATTTGTCCTGCTTATAACACCTCCACACGTACAGCATAGAAAACACTGCTCCAACATTTCTTCTATTGTTGCGTCAATCAGCTGTCGCACAGACCGCGTAGAGAACACCGCTTCCCAGTTAGTCCATTGGTACGTTTTAGGAATATGTTGCCTAGCAACGGGTCTACATGCTATAATATTATATATGTTCGTATTGTGGTTCTTGTGCCTCCATTTTCAGGACCGTGAGAACGGAAGAAACACTTTCCTCCGAAACGCTAACAATTCTGGCTCGTATTTGGAAAGTCATCGTTTCGGAACCCGACTGAGACACTGATAAACCTTATCGATATAATTCTTAATTTTTCTTAGTTTCCCAAAGGATAGTCTGAGATAGTACCTGAAAGCAAGCCATGCTCGTTTCGCGCTACATGTTTTCCAGCATTTAATGCGCAAATGGAAGCACACAATAGTAAGTAAAAGTAAAGCTATCCCTGTACCAGGCCGTGAAGGCCCATAGGGTAGTGAGACGTTGAGGGTTCCACATTATCTAGACAATCGGCTCAAAGATGGCGGTAAGGTTGTCAGCCTTACGCGTCGGCCGCGGTTTACTCCCCAGGAAAAGTATTTAATTAATTCCTAGTACTCATTTCTGTTAGAGGCTGAGTCGACCCCAGGGTCATAGTGCGGCTGGAAGGATTGGGTCAATTAAAAAAATCCAATTACCTCATCGGGGCTTGAACTCTCGACCTCCCGGCTTGTAGCTACCGCTACCCTAAGCACACAATACTCGTAGCAGTTCTCTAAAACACTTCAGGACGCGTTTTCCTTGGAGATACATGTAGCCATCGGATTATTTGGCATCAAAATGGAAACTTTGGATTTCAACGGTTCAAGAAACAGATGAAGGCCACATGAGCTGACGTAATATTTACATGATGGCGCATTAATTTATTGCTTTGTAGGCGATTCGCTGTTGCAACACCATGAACATACTGTAGCTTGTAGAACTGTTGCTACGCAACAGTTCTAGCTTTGTATTCTTGTGGTCCTCGGTTGTAATCTCGGCTGGGATACCATATATTATGAGATTTCCGTGGTTTCCCCCAGTCTCTTCAGATGAATGTTGGGATAGTGCATCGATTAAGTGACGAATGCTTTCTTCCATATCGGCTCTAATTTACGTTTCATAAAAAACTTTACCATTTGACGCAATCTTTGGTTCGTCTGGGGTAACTGGGTCATTTCTGATGTTTGGTAGAATTAATTAGTGAAAACAAATTATATTCAGGATACTAATTATGAAAAATGATTCTGCATTAATGCAATACAAGACTCTTATCCATATAGACTTTAAAGGAATCTGACGATGGTGTATGCTGTACAGAACTATTAAGCTTATTTTGGACTCTATCCATCGTCTGGTATATATAAGACAAAAAACCACAACGTTTCGGAGACTGGATCTGTCTCCGTCCTCAGGTGGATGGGGCAAGATAGACCTACTCAGCTGGGCCCGTTAGAAAGAGGTAGCGTCAATCACTGGACTGGAGACTAGCTCTTTCTAATGGGCACAACTGAGTAGGTCTATCTTGCCCCATCCACCTGAGGACGGAGACAGATCCAGTCTCCGAAACGTTGTGGTTTTTTGTCTTATATATATACCAGACGGCAGCGTCATCAGCAGCGACTTGAAGCACAGAGCAAATGATGCTCGAGATGGTTCAAGTTCGTATAGCAACAGGCGTGACCAGAGCGGTTTGAACGGCTGTTGTACTGCGATGTGGAAAGCAAATGGAAAAACTACCACATTATCACTTTTCCTGGATAGTTTCTTTCCAAAAACAGAGATACCAAATGTGGTGTTGGAGAAGGATGGAGAAGATTAGTTGGACCGGTTATGGGAGAAATGAAGAAGTGTTAATTAGAGTCAGTGAGCAGAGGTTTATCTATATGAAATAAGAGAAAGATAGAAGGGCGGATAGAAGTGACCAGAAGACAAGGAAGACCTAAGAAGATGCTGGATGACCTTGGGAATAGAAGAGGCTATTTTCATTTGAAGGAGAAAGCTCTCTATCGCATTAAGTAGAGGAACTGTTTTGGAAGAGACTGTGGACCTGTCGCCTGACAGATTACTAATGAATGAATGAATACCAGACGATGGATAGGGTCCAAAATATACCTTATAGTTCTGTATTCTTATCCATGCTCAGCATGCAATAAAGCTTTCCTAGAAGTAAAAAGAATTTAGAAAAGTTCACAATTCCTGAAAGCTGGAAAAAGTGTGGGGTCATTCTGATTAATGAAGGTGCTATATTAGTCACTCCCCTTTTTGACACCCGTCTACATACATTTGTTCCCTGCCCCGAGCAACCCATACAGACATAAAATAATAGCTTTTGATACTTGTTCGAACCTCGTTTAAACTCTACTTTCTGAAGTACAGAAACCGCAGGGCAAGCCTTCCTCGTCTTCAGTCTCACTAATGGGCTGGAAACTTGAGCAGTCAGCGCTGTCTTCGTGTTCTTTCAGCTCTTATGCTTTCAGTTTTCTTTCGGCAGCCGTGCCTCGGAGTTACTGCCACGTGTGAAACTTCTTCTCGCCTGTTTCGGGATAGTTTTCTGGATTTCGCAAAAACAAATTGTGCATAATTGGGGCCAAGACTCGTCAGGAAATGTTCCTGGACCAGTGGAAGCATTACGTTCCTCAGCAGAGGACGAATAGAGGGATGCTACAGGCGCCATCACTGTCTGATCCAGAGCTGAAGTACAGACTTCACATCCTGGGTCACGCGCCTCACGCGTTATGTACTGGTTGTAGGGGAGGAACGTCCTGTCACGTGTATGTGTGTTACAATAAACGGGGTTTTGGATTGGTGAATGCATTTATTGATTACTTACAGGTGGTAACTATAAATAACTATAACCAATGGCTATTGCTTTGCCTCCGGGCTCAAGTCCTGTCTTCGAGACCCCTGTACAGAACTGACTCAGCTCTGAGTCTGAGTCTTATGTTACGACCGACGGTCAGTCGGACAGTCTGTCTTGGAATGAAGCACCCATCTGTGGCTCAAGACCAAATTTTTATTACTGTCAGACAGTTGCAGGTTTGTTGATGTGGGGCGCCCTCTCTGACAAGAGGACGGGTCTGTCGTTTACAATTGCTGCTTGTCCTCGCCAGAGCAGTCATTCTCGGGTTCGAGTCCCATGGTACTCGCGACAAGATTTTGCTGTCTCTGATTCGAGATCTCCATTTTCATCGCCTCCTATGACTGACAGGGCTACGGTGGAGGTATTCGAATCCCAACTCCACACGGGATTCTCTCTGACTCAGCTCTAACCTTGTACCTTGCTTATAACATCTCTGCACGGACCGAGTAGAGAACCCCGTTTCTAACAGTACTTCCATTGTTGCGCCTCGATTCCTTGCTCTCGGAATTTGTTCATCGGTCCATTGCTTAGAAATGGCTCTGGCATATTTGCTTATCTCGCGGTCGTCGCATGGTAACGGCTCTCATTCCAGTACCTTTGAACACTTACAGAATATTTTCAAGTACTGAAATTTTAATCCATGGTGTAGGAAGCAACCTTCTGAATTTGGACATGTTGATAGATATGTACGTGTATGAAGATGTATGTATGACTTGGTTTCCTGTGGTAATCAGATTGTGATCACGTGTATGCAGTTTTATCACGAGAATATGAAACTAGTGACGTGGGCTGCCAAACACAGCGTGTTAGTGTGATGCTGTCGCCATGAAATCAAAGCTTCCAGACAACAATTAGATGCGTGTCCATCCAATATACATGCTAAAAGTGCCGTGTCCTTGCGAATTCTACGAACATAACAGAAACACACTTTCTGGACTCCCTATTTGCACGGTTGGCCAAACTGATATATTCCGCTTATGCGAATCCAGAATCCTTACGTGTTTGAAAATGACCGTGGGAGCAATAAACATTTCAGGAGCGAATTTTGTTGCGCCGTCTCCACGTTCTGCAGTGGTTATCTGTAAAACTCTTCTACATCCCCCCCCCCATTTTTGCAATATTTTTTTTCAGGGCAATTTTTATTCGGAAGTCCAGTCTCATCCACTCTTAAAGAGTTTTCTTCTCTAACATCTCACGCTGAATCAAAGTACAATTCTGCCAATATTCTCTTCACTTCTTCCTCTATCACCTTTGATAACCCATCTTGCAATTCTGCGAGAAAAATGCATATTCCTCTTTAATAATCAGTCGACCGTCCCTATCTACAGTTTCTTCTTGTTATATTGGTGGGTCAAGGGTTCGGTTTGCAGAAGAAATGATTTCTCTCACACGAACGCTATGCGTAATGGAACTTCCTAACTTCCTCTAGGCAAATTCTTTTATTCTGTGACACTGAATTCTTTTGGGTGGCCAGCTCTTATGTTCGACTTCTCTGCAATTGTATGACTTAGGAAAACCTTTTTGTAGATGAGCAATCTTAACACTTTTATTTGAATAGTAAAACTTGGTAAAATAGTGTAAGAGTCCTTGGAGGTCCATATAGATGTGAGAAATTAAGGCTCCCACATTTTCTACACAATCAGAAGATGACTGATTGCAATGAGGCCAACACGTCTGACCAGTTGCGCAAATTAGCTGCGCGGTGAACGAATTAGTTAGCCTAAAAATGGCCCCTATATGCCGTAGCTGTTAACACTTTTAAAACTTCACCAAAAATTTTCTACTTATATTTTTTTTAATGTTTCAACATAGTCACAAAATTCTATCGCGTAAATTTGGTTATAGATAGCAGCACTTACTTGGTGATTCAGTCCGCGTGTTCACATTCTTCTTTGCTGCAACTCAGTGTTCGTCAAACTTTTCTGAAGCCCCAAAGACTTTGAGTAAAATTATTTATTGGGGTCACATGATACTTTTTTCATTGTTAACAGTAATATCGTTGCCCTTTCTACGAGTCGTATGTGAGATAAGTTTTCTTAGGGTTCATGGTCTTGACTTTATGCATTCAAAGCTCTCATATATTGTACATGTGTGAACTACATCTTTGATACTTTGAATTATTTATGAGACGTGCCCTGGTGTGCTTTATGAGCTTGTTTGAGCGTCGGAAGCTGTTAATAAAGGAGATTAGCCTTGTTATTACATAAACATGTTGCAACGGAATAGATTAGGGTAGCGTTCACGCTCTGGACTGCGCAGGCGCTCCTTTTGAATTTCTGAAGGGACACCGGCTATCCTGCCTGAGCATTTTCATAGTGTTTCTGTGTTCCTCCAGGTAAATTCCAAGTAGAATCTCAATTAGACCACTGCTTGCATCCAAATAATTCCCAATTCATCAGACATCAGTCGCCCCATTTGAGGCTACACACTCTGAGCTAGATAGTGCCACCTTCGTAAACAAACCACAAAAAAAAGTGTTGCCTTATCGACATGATTTCATCCAATTTTGGGAGGCCAGATTATCTACCTGCAGAGAGCCACCTAAATTTGCTCCGTCTATCTGTCTTCTGCTTATAAGAAACAAACAAAAAACCGGTAAACATATTTTGATTAAATTTGGTATTACATGATTTTACGATGAATTATGGTCGCATCCCAGAAGACAGCAATTTGCTTAGGATTTCAGCAGTCTCATATGAAGTTCCTCATTATGTAGTTTTCTCCATTTTTCCTGCTACTTCATCTCCCTCAGATCCAAACTTTCGTCTCGTTACTCTCCTTCTGTGCGCTTAGGTAGACAGCACACCAGTATGCGTCAAGACATGTAACAGTCAAGACACGAAGTCTGCTACATGACGCAAAGAAAGTAGCACAGTTGAAACGAATGAGATTATGAAAACTGCCACACACCGGTCTGAGTCATGATGCTGACCAATCACGAATGAAGTAAGACTGCGTCTTTTGTCTCATGTCTTGATGCTTGTCTTGACGCAGTTGGTGTGCGGCTGCTCTTAATCTAGAGAACGGTTAAGATTAAGATTTCTGGAAGCACCACATCTTAGTGACACAGATCAGAGAGCTTTGCTTGTCTCAATCTGTAGGATGGCGTGGAATTATATATGGGTTCTGCTCTCACTAAACAAAATCTCTCCTCTCATTCATATAACTTCATGAAGTCATCGTCTGTCTCGTGGCGTGCTCTATCGCCACTTCTGAAACAAAATGAGACAATGCATATTACGTTTCGCCACCCCATTTTTTTTTCCGCTGTCTCTGCAGCTTCCTTCGGCCTTGGCCTCTGATTTATCAGTTTAATCATCATTTTACAGACGGTAGGACACCTCGGACGGGTGATCAGCTCGTCGCAAGGCCTCTACCTAAACACAGGGCAACATAAACCCAGGAAAAACACATACCAAATATCCATGCCTTGTGTGGGATTCGAACCCACGAAGAGCGAAGACAGTACTTGCCTTAAATCGCTCGATACTTTCATGGATTTGCCTTAGTTGCAAGTGTGAGACGCCAGAATGTGTTTTATCCTAAGTCGTATTTAAATTGTATTTAGTTTCGTAACTTCAAGACAAGTTTCACAAAAATTGGTGTACACTGTAGTACTCATGTGACGAAAGATGAAGACGCTTCATGAACTGTTCTTTTTTATTTCATAGATGAGAAGAAATTCAGAAATCTTGAAAAGAAGCGAGAAAACATTACGTCATACAGTAATCACAGACAAAAGGTTATAAATATTATACTTCCAATTCTCGGCAAGAAGGGCTTAAATCAATTCTCTTTTTACTTTTTTCAGCGGCACAAAAGCTTACACAATTTCTGAGGTTTTGACAACCCTGTCAGTTTTTCTGCACACATGAAACAAAAAATTGATGATAAAATTTATGTTGGAGACTTTTACGAAATATATTATATTTCAGCATCCCGTTGTATTGAGGCATTGTCCTTATTATCAAAGTACACGTCAATAATGCAACAATATAAAAGACATCAAGAATATATCATTCGCTAAAACAGTATTTTCATACTTTATGATGTTAAATCATCAAAATGTCAATAGGACACTAAAAGTATATTTTATACATTAAAAGTGATTATCAAAATTTCTTGAATGTCTCTAGTTTTGCATGTATTTTTTCTCTATACAGAGACACCTCAATAGTGACACATACACAAGAAAATACGGCACACAAAAGCTACAAATAGCCGCAAAAGGGTGCAACGACTAGTCATGAGATAGAACTAAATATTGACGTGCATGGGAGCATGGTGGACAAGTGAACAGTGCAGTGGTCTCCCCAAAAACCAAAAGAAATCACCACATGATGGCCCACGTGAGGCCGAAACATGTAAAAAAAAACAGGAAAATACATGTAAAACTAGAGACATTTAAGAAATTTTGATAATCACTTTTAATATATAAAATATACTTTTAGTGTCCTATTGACAATTTAATTATTTTAACATCATAAAGTACTAAAATACATTTTTAGTGAGTGACATATTCTTGATGCCTTTTATATTGTTGCATTATTGATGTGTACTTTAATACTAAGGATAACGAAATATATTTTTAATTTTTGGTTAAAGCGTACATTTTACATAAGAACCCAGATGGTTTTCTGCCCGCATCTCAAACATAAAGCGTTAAATATTTATCAGAACGAAAAGTATTAAAAAAAGAAACGTAGAAAAGAATCACACATAAATTTTATCTTCAGCAAACTTTTCTCTCAAATCTTAAGGTTTTCAACATAATTATGTAATAACTGTTATGCTTCGTACATATTTCCTAAATTGCTTATAGAGCAATGAACAGTGGTCTTCCGGTCGCGTCATAGCTCGGGCGATTAGTCACCAGCTTCCCACCGCGGCGGCCCGGGTTCGATCCCAGGTCATATGGGATTTGCAATGGACACAGATACTGGGGCAGGTTTTCTACGAAAACTTTGGTTTTTGCTGCCAATTCTCATTTCAACGACTGCTCCACTTTGATTAATAATCCTATCATCCTCGGAGTACTGTCTCGGTATCGACAAAAATATCTTCCGCCTCAGTTTATAGATTTACAAAATATAATTTTACATAAGTTTCTAAATACTTGTAGAATCATTCTAATCCGTGGCTTTAGTACGTAAGCGTACTATACCGACCAAGCGACCGCCGTTGTCGGCGAAGTTAGTGCAAAATTCATCGTATAGAAGGCGTCGCGGGTCAGCGCAACGAATTTCGGTTTTCTAGACCGGAGCCGCTACTTTTCAATTCAAGTAGCTCAATTGTCCTCATGAGCCTGAATGGACCCCGTTCCAGACCCACCGCTTCTCAGAAAATCTGGTAGCGCCGGGAATCGAACCCGGGACCTTTGGATCTGTAGGCAGGAACTTCCTTGCAGAAGCATACGTTACTAAATACCTGAAAGACATTTGCGCATATTGCAATAAGTACTTGAGCACGAATTTTGAACACGCGTAAGCTTAAGCCCAGTTCACGCACAATGCAAACTGAAAGCACGACACGTAACCTTAAGTCAGAGATAATATTTAATTTACATTGACCCCTTTATGTTAACTTACGCTCTTCGTAATGGCCTTTATATTAAGCTCTTCTTACCGAAGGACGAAGAAATACAAACATCATCATAAATTACATTTTCTGTCCACTTAGTTGTGTTGGCTTCTGTTGAATTACAGAACATACAGAGCAGTTAAAGTATGAAGACAACACACTTCAGAGACACCATTGTGAGACCCGTGATCTCCACGCTCTATCCAAAGTAACCATGGAAGATATACTTATATTCTAACAGACTGATTACTGAAACTGAAAAGACACCATCCAAGGTTTGAGGTACTCACAACGGTTGTTATGAGAGTATCTTCTGGGATATAACAACACGTAGTCCGTTAAAAGTCAACCGACGTTTCGGAGGAACATATCTCCCTCTTCAAATTCGAATAATGCAAGAAAAATACCAGCTTTAAATCAGAGGATTGCTACCTGTTTCCACGTTGATATCTTGCTAGCATTATTCGACATTAAAGATGGAAGCGATGTTATCCTCCGAAACGTCGGTTGACTTTAAATAACCTACACTGCGTTATATCCCAGAATATATTAGGAATCCTTTTGTATGATTCTCAGCATTGATACTGAAATCTTTTAGGCCGATATTTCTAATTGTTGTATTCATTGTCAGTTTAGGGGACGTCACATTTCAACAGCCAGCTCTACCGAAGAAAAGTTCTGTGTTTTAACGAGGCCTCCGTTATGTCGGTTTTGGTTCCCACCGTAAGGTAAAAAGGTAAAGCTATCCCTGTAACAGGCCGTGGAGGCCCATAGGGTTGTGAGACGTCGAGGCTCCCACATTTTCTAGACAATCGGCTCACAGATGGCGGTAAGGTTGTCAGTCTTATGCGCCGGCCGCCCTTTACACCCCAGGAAGATTCCTGGTACTCATTTCTGTTAGAGGCTGAGTCGACCCCAGGGCCATAGTGCGGCTGGAAGGATTAGGTCAGTTGAAAAAATCCACTTCATTGAGACTCGAACCCGCGACTTTCCGGCTTGTAGCATAGTGCCTCAACCAACTACGCTACTGCGTGCCACGTTTCCCACGGTATATTAAGATTAGAATATCGCAACTCATTAATGATGACGCCCCTAAAGATGTTTTGGCATCAGAAATCTTGACCTAATTCACAGGCTGACTTTGGAGGTCTGTTCAGTTATCAAGAGAAAATGCACTTGTTTAATATCACACTCATCATCACTTGTGTCGCGCATACGGAATTTAAACATTTGAACGATATTTGGAATGATAAAGATGTCTTGTAAAATGTCAACAAACGAACTACATACTACAAGTCACTTGATATATAAACACATCACAGTGACCAGAAATGAATGAATACATTTAGGCGCGACTGCGTCACCGTGGTTTGGAAATCCAGTCACATAAATTTCTTGCAAAATTCTTGTAAATTTTTTTAACAAATATAGTATACTAAAAGTCATTATCCCATTTAGTATACAGACACTTTGCATAGTGGCTAAAACAAATGCATACACCCAGACATAATCATGTTGTTCGTAGTGTTACGAACACCCCTCAACGTATTACATATCTTGCGAAAATTTAGTATAATATACGATATTAAATTAACAAGTTATATTATAAAAAGTGTGTATCAGTTTATTTGCGAGTTCATAAAAGTAATAATATTTTATGGAGTTAGTGACTTCGTCTATATGTCATGAAGTCTTCTTCACTGTATAATCAGAATGGCGTCGAGAAATCTTCACCTCCATAAATTCTCAATGGAAATTAGCGAACGTTGCTTAGATAAATTTTTCGTGTAAGAACCAATAAAATAGCCACGTCACTCTATCAGCTGAGTTTATTCCAAATCCTATGCCAATGTAACGGTGACTAAATATGGCAGTCCGTTGACTTATACCAGTATTCAGAAGATCACAGGTTGGAAATTCGGCCGGAAAAATGTTGCCTATACAGACCCACCTCATGATTTTGCTGGGTCGATATCGTCAAATGACTGGACAATTCCCCGCCGCAGAGTCCACGTTAAACTGACCATTATTTGACTCAGCAAGATATTTCCTGCTTTCTGTTTATTATGCTGTCAACAAGAGCACGTCACTGGTCCATTTTTTGAGCCAAATGAATCCAGTCCATACCCTCACACCGTTTTAATGTCCTCACATCTACTTCCAGATATAGAAATGGCCTCTACCCTTCAGAAACTCCTAATGAATTTCTGATCACCTCATTCTTCTTCATTTTATCGAATTCTGGGATAGTACCTGTGAATAGCCCACGACCTCAATCTCCGCAGTTAATCAGCCATAATCTTGCAATACGACGCCAGGTTACCTAATTGAAAATCGTCGTTAAATTACTGAAATATCGACAAATATTTGTTTCGTTATGTCGAGTGCCCTACAGTGCCTGATCGCTTCTTCACTAGACGTTACCTAACCTAAGCCTCGGAAAAACGTCGATTAATATTTGTCTCTGTGAAGTCGATAATCCCACAGTGATTGATGTCATATTCAGCAGTTGGAGATATTGTCCCGCATGGAGATGCACTCCCTGTTCAGCAGCTGGCGATATTGCCCCGCATGGAGATGCACTCGCTGTTCAGCAGCTGGCGATACTTTCCCGCATGGCGATGCACTCCCTGTTCAACAGCTGGCGATACTTCCCCGCGTGGCGATGCACTCCCTGTCCAGCAGCTGGCGATATTGCCCCGCATGGAGATGCACTCCCTGTTCAGCAGCTGGCGATATTGTCCCGCATGGAGATGCACTCCCTGTTCAGCAGCTGGCGATATTGCCCCGCATGGAGATGCACTCCCTGTTCAGCAGCTGGCATTGTTGCCCCGCATGGAGATGCACTCCCTATTCAGCAGCTGGAGATATTGTTCCGTATGGAGATGGACACACTGTTCAGCAGCTGGCGATATTGCCCCGCATGGAGATGCACTCCCTGTTCAGCAGCTGGCGATATTGCCCCACATGGAGATGCACTCCCTGTTCAGCAGCTGGCATTGTTGCCCCGCATGGAGATGCACTCCCTATTCAGCAGCTGGAGATATTGTTCCGTATCGAGATGGACACACTGTTCAGCAGCTGGCATTGTTACCCCGCATGGAGATGCTCATCCTACGATCTGCTCTACTGCTCCCCGCGTGTTGATATTGCTGCTGACTCGAAGGGGCCGGTGGGGGGTAGCGCCATCTTCGAGGTCGCGACAGAAGATGGCCATCTGTGGAAGCCCTACCCCTGAAAGGAGGCAGTGATTCGCTACTGCCAGGCTCGCTCGCTTTCCCTTCCTCTGCTTCCTCTTCCTCTTCCAGTTCAACTTCTGTCCACCGCCTCCCTGTAACAACATATATATATATACATGTAAAACTCCATAATATCCCGTTTTCTTGTTGTTTATGTTAGCAGAATCGGAGTTAGTTACGAACAATACCAGAAAATAATAGCATGTAATTGCTGTTTTATCTCTGTGCATGTTCGTTTTGAACTGGTAGCAGAAGATGACAGAGGTGTGAGTAGTTACAAATAGGCCCAGATGATGACTGTTCCTTTTCTGTCATTTTTATGAGTAGAAGCGACCGCCTTGAAATTATTTACGAATGGGAACAGCAGACTGCAGCAATGAATAACATTTGAAAGTATGCTTGACGTTTTTCGTGACTTCCCTGTTTTGTCAGAACAGAAGGATTGAACCTCAAATAGCCCACGACCGCTTTCTTTCATATAATTTCCAATTAATTAATCATTAATCATTTTATCATTGAACACTGTGTAGCCTGAGCTACGATAGGCGTGGTTGAATAAATAAATGCCAAGGACTAAATATGATTGTAATTATATTGCCACGTGTCCTGGTAACGCGACAAGTAATTAATGGATTCTCTGGATTGATGAATCGATTTACTGATTAATCACCAGGAGGATCTACAAATACTTGTAACACTTCAAAATGTTACTGGAACAATAACACGCAAAGTCTTCAACATTTCCACTCTTAGATGCTCCTTGTAGGAATTCGGTGAGCTGGTCTGTACCCAGACTCCTCTCTTCTGGCTAGATCTCTCGGCCTAGGCTTCACGCGACCGGATATGAAACACTCCGTGCAATTGTACACTTCTTCGTTTTTGCGTTTGTCATCGAAACGTGTTTTTCGTTGCTGTGTAAACAAACTTTAACCAGCCGTTATAACGGAAACGCTTCTGTACGCGTTGTCTAGGAACCGACATCTCTGTCATAACCTCGGAGAAGTGTTTCAAAAAGCCGTTACCTAGCAATGGATTTACATGCCACAATATTTATGTGTACTTTACTGATTGTTTATAGGACCTAATACTGTTCAAGCACACTGCGAATGGTGTGCCTGCTCACAGTCAATGTCACATGTACCGGAAGTTTTAAAATGTTATCTTGTATTATCGTCTGTAGGGGGCGCTGTGGACAAAGCACATTCAATTAAGGAGCGGTCAGAATCTAACTAAGTCTCTGAGAAACATATGCTAGAGACGTTGGGGAAATTACATTCTTTCAAACATTTCCTGCAGAAGTCTGGCCGGAGACTTATTGTCTGACATTTCATTTCGCAGAAGTTAGGAAAATGTTTAGTAACAAAACATTACAGTTGTATCCCGGTTAAGAAACACTGTCTGATTCTGACAGAGAAAGCTCGGGGAAGGACATTCCAAGAAAGCGGTTTCTCATATCAAGTTTCCATGACCTGAGCAATGTTCATTAGCCTCGGTGTTAATGAACAAAAGTGACATACACTCGACTAGTGGGAACATACAAAAGAAGGGGGCACATACAAATAAAGATAGCAACAACACACCGATGTTCATAGGGCTAAATAAAACAACACAAAAATACAGAAGACGCAAGGGGAAAATAGAGTGGGAAAGGATAAAGTGTTATGTTCCGAAACAAATGTATCTTAGCGTGAACGGCGTAATATACAATAGCACTGAAATATTTTGGCTTGAGAATCAGTGCAGTGTGGCTGTTCAGAAAAGTTAACGGTTTCTGAGGATGGCCAGGTAAGGCCGAAACTAACCCGTTCCGTTCATGTGCAATATGCGCCTACTTGCAGAACTTCATTTCTGTTATCTACGATATGTGTGTTAGAACCTGGATATAGATTTATTTCCGTAAATTGATTTATAAATAATCAATAATCTTAAATACCTAATACATACAGTGCGTACAATCAAGTGCGCGGGAGGAGTTGCAACTCCTCCCGCGACTGCATCCGTTCTGCGGTGGTATGACTCACGGCAAATTGCAGCCGCGGCGCGCACTTGATTGTACGCACTGTATTAACATGACCTATTTAATACTTTTCCCCACATTTCTCGAGAAGTCACACTTTCCCATCATTCCCTTACAGCTACACATTCCTAGAGAAGTCACAATTGCCCATCATTCCCTTATAGTTATACATTCCTACAGAAGCCACACTTGCCCATCATTCCCTTATAGTTACACAATCCTAGAGAAGTCACAATTGCCCATCATTCCCTTATAGTTATACATTCCTACAGAAGCCACACTTGCCCATCATTCCCTTATAGTTACACAATCCTAGAGAAGTCACAATTGCCCATCATTCCCTTATAGTTATACATTCCTAGAGAAGCCACAATTGCCCATCATTCCCTTATAGTTACACAATCCTAGAGAAGTCACAATTGCCCATCATTCCCTTATAGTTATACATTCCTACAGAAGCCACACTTGCCCATCATTCCCTTATAGTTACACAATCCTAGAGAAGTCACAATTGCCCATCATTCCCTTATAGTTATACATTCCTACAGAAGCCACACTTGCCCATCATTCCCTTATAGTTACACAATCCTAGAGAAGTCACAATTGCCCATCATTCCCTTATAGTTATACATTCCTACAGAAGCCACACTTGCCCATCATTCCCTTATAGTTACACAATCCTAGAGAAGTCACAATTGCCCATCATTCCCTTATAGTTATACATTCCTAGAGAAGCCACAATTGCCCATCATTCCCTTATAGTTACACAATCCTAGAGAAGTCACAATTGCCCATCATTCCCTTATAGTTACACATTCCTAGAGAAGTCACAATTGCCCATCATTCCCTTACAGTTACACGTTCCTAGAAAGCCACACTTGACCATCATCCCCTTATAATTACACATTCCTAGAGAAGCCACACTTGCCCATCATTCCCTTACAGTTACACATTCCTAGAGAAGCCACACTTGCCCATCATTCCCTTACAGTTACACATTCCTAGAGAAGTCACAATTGCCCATCATTCCCTTATAGTTACACATTCCTAGAGAAGTCACAATTGCCCATCATTCCCTTATAGTTACACATTCCTAGAGAAGTCACAATTGCCCATCATTCCCTTACAGTTACACATTCCTAGAGAAGCCACACTTGCCCATCATTCCCTTACAGTTACACATTCCTAGAGAAGTCACAATTGCCCATCATTCCCTTATAGTTACATATTCCTGGAGAAGTCACAATTGTCCATCATTCCCTTACAGTTACACCTTCCTAGAAAGCCACACTTGACCATCATCCCCTTATAATTACACCTTCCTAGAAAGCCACACTTGACCATCATCCCCTTATAGTTACACATTCCCAACAAATGTCACACTTGCCTCTCATTCCCCTAATGTAAAGTAATTAAATCATCTGAAAGGTTTTTATGAAATGAACAGTCTTCCAATTAATACGTCGAAGCACGTTTACCTAGCATCATGACAGGAGACACTGTATTCTGTGTTCCGTTGGGCGGGGCTGTTCCATTCGCTGTTGTCAGTTTTGACGTGCAGATGAATCTCGTGGAGTCTGGACTCACTATCTGCTCCGAGTGAATATCACTGGAGGAGCGTTTCAGTTTCGGACACTTGCTGTGAACCTGCCAGAACCGGCACACATCTCGGAATACAGACCAAACCTGTACAACACGAATTACAATCAGCTAATTTGGGTTATCTGTACAATAATACAAACAATAAACTAGTATAAGCAGGCGGAAAACTTAGCTTGTTTCTTACTTCCCTTAGACACTGAAATTGGAGGTGATTTGTTCTTCCGAAACGTCGTGATCTCTACGAATGATATGACATTTTCGGGAAAAAGTATATTTCCTCACCTGTCACTGATTAAAACGTATATTTGGGATGTGATATCATGCAGAAAAACTCCGTGGCTCTCGCAACTTCCTGTATGAATAATGTAGGATCTTTTAGGGAAGGAATTTATGAGGATCTGAAGTGTATTCAGCTGGCTTAGGACTGGTTCCATTTATTTGATTTAGCATATTACGGGATTGGCTATCAGAATGTTATTTAAGGGGCAATAAAATATTGAAAAAGAATGTACCTGTTCTATGCTTTCCCGAACGGAAATCTCGTGGAAACAGACGCAACCAATTTCCTTGCTTCTCCTTTGCCCTTCTTCCAAAGTGACCATGCGATCTCCCCATTGGTCAGTCTTGTTGCCCACAAGGACAACAGGAACATCAGTTACAGCCTCCTGAAAGGATATTACGACACTTTGAATATTCTGTTCCATACAAATTTATACGTCCATAGAGGCAGCCGACGTACAGATATCGGTATAGTGATATCCCAGTTGTATATATGTCGATTTCTTTCTTAGCAACATCCGCCATTTAAAAATTCCGCCCTCGCTTCCATTGCATAGGGACGAGTTGAAAGGGGACACAAAATAGAGTGCATGACGGTCTCATATCCCTATTTAGAGGTGAACAGAAAATATCAGGTTTTGAAGGTTCCCAGACAGTACTCGCTCGTCTTTCTGGTAAATACACGTATGGGCTGGAGAGAAAATAAAGAGTTGGGAAGTGAAGGAGGTAAAACACTGGAAGGTTGTGTGTGGGCGAAAGAAGTGGAGAAGGATTTTGTTGTGTTCAATATGATAAACATGAGACCGAGGGAGAGATACTAAAGGGGATTTGGTGAAAGTCGTAAGTCGTGAGAGAAACGACATAATTTTTCTGGAAGAATGAAGTTCACCATTAATATTTAAATGTTCAGTTCGTACCTCGCAGGAAATATACATATTACGTCTCTGCTACAAAGCCCAACCGGTTAATGCTGTTTAGGGAAACAGTCGCTGTTTACTGTTAGAACCATACGGAACATACAGATACACTGTGTGGGCAGAATATATAGCAATTCATTTCGTGCCTCACAGGAAACAAATTACGTCTCCGCTACAGAGTCCAACCAGTTAATGCTGTTTAGGGAAGCAGTCGCTGTTTATTGTGAGAACCATACGGAACATACAGATACACTGTGTGAGCAGAATATATAGCAACCTAGTCCGTACCTCACAGGAAACACATTACGTCTCCGCTACAGAGCTCAACCGGTTAATGCTGTTTAGGGAAACAGTCGCTGTTTATTGTGAGAACCATACGGAACACACAGATACACTGCGTGGGCAGAATATATAGCAATTCATTTCGTGCCTCACAGGAAACACATTACGTCTCCGCTATAAAGCCCAACCGGTTAATGCTGTTTAGGGAAACAGTCGCTATTTACTGTGAGAATCGTACGGAACACATAAATACACTGTGTGGGCAGAATGCAGAGATGTAAATACTTTAATGTTAAATGTTTAATGTTAAATGCATTAAATTACCATTGTGTTTAGGAGGGTGGAACAGAAGAGACATAGCTATCACGAAATTTACCTTTGAAAACACGTAGCATTCGTGTCATGCAAACGGTGTCTCCAATTTAACCCTCTTAAAATGTCGCACGTATACAGTAACTCTCGCACACCACGTGTAAAATATACATATTCCTATATATACACATAATATCCTGTGACAAAGAGAAGGCGTGGTAAGGGATGGGCAGAACTGGCAGCTCTTGACAATTCTACTATTCGTTTGGGGACACACTGAGCTACAACATTTACTGGCAACTGTAAGATGTGTCTCAAAATTATTCCGATGTTTTCAGTGTGCATAGTACATTCAGGAGGACCTTGGTAATTGCCTCGCCTTCTCTTCGTTCGAACTTAGTGTCTATATTGGAAGTGTACGTAAATAATGGTGGTGGTGGTGGTGGTGGTAGTAATAGTAGTAAAAGGTAAAGCTATCTCTGTCATTTTCTAGACAGTCCGCTCGGAGATGAGGATGAGGTTGTCAGTCTTACGCTCCCGCCATCCTTTAGCCCCCAGAAAAATTCCTCTTACTCATTTCTTTTATAGGCTGATTCAACCCTAGGGCCATAGTGCAGCTGAAAGGATTAGGTCATTTGAAAAATCCAATGATCTCATCGGGAATCGAACCCACTACCTTGCGACTTGTAGCAGAGTGCCTCCAAAAGTACGCCACCGCGTGCCCGGTAGTAGTGATAGTTATATTACTATTAGTGGTTTGGTATAATAATAATAATAATAATAATTGGGTCCATGTGAACACGGTAAGCAAACTTCGCGTTCAGTAATGGGCGGCCAACTTCTTCACCATCTGTGCGACTATCAGTTTCTCAAGAAGTCTTCTTCATGCAGTTAATCTAATTCTGCTTTCCTTCATCTTCTCGCATTTCACAGATGTCAAATTGGGTAAGTGGGTTAAGGGTTCAGCTATTTCTGAAGCCGTGACAGGTACAAGTAGAAGACAACAAACACCTTGTCGAGTTCACCTTGGAGCTGTTGGAGCCCAGCCTCCGCCTCCGCTTGTTGTAGTTGATTAGGAACTTGAGACGGTTACACTCGTCAAATGAGCACTTGTCAGTGACGGAATACATGAGGATAAATGCTTCGGCCCATCGGATGTTAGCTTCCAGGGTGAGACACTCGCTCTCCTGTAACAGTAAATACCGTTGCTTTTAGGAACTCCCAGAAGATAGGATAATATTAAAATAAGGACCAGTCACTAGCTCTTATGAATATTATAATCAATCATCGGGTTCCACACAAAACATACTGAGTGTCTTAGCGACTGTAAGTTTCTCAGGAAGGACTCTGCTGTATTTACCGCCAAAGTAATATGTCATTGGACAGTTGAATGATTTGTAAATTTCTAATAGGAAAGGATGTGTTTGGAAGAAGCTATGGTCTATTTTATGTTACTATAGTTATATTTGTCTGAAGAGACTGATTAAAATAACATTAGACCTCAAACCGGGTAGTCGATCTCCAGACCAGAGCAATCTTCATTTAATGCATGTATCTACATGCTCGACACTCTTCAGCATTTAAATGAGTCCTGCGTTGCTTAAGTCGGTTACGTAGGGGGAGAAGGGAAGTGGGGGGGCATCAGAGAATGATCAGACACGTGATGATATGATTACTAAAGGACACGATATAAACGAAGTTTTTAATTAAAAATTTTAATGGTCATATATTATCACAAAGAGTGAAACTCCTTGCAGGTTAGAGCACGGCTGTCCATCTACAAACTACTAGAGGCCGCGCTGCACCTTACAAGTATGTACCTACGCAGGTACTCCATTACAAATCCGATACAGGTATCTGCACTCTAATTAACAGATCTATAGAGCACAAGCACAAGAATAAGAATTGGACTGAGCGGGTTACTGTAGACTCGTATTAGATAGGTTCTTGGCTCGATTCTCGGTCAGGGCACAGACTATCTTGTGGTTTTATGGTTTCACTCGTTCCATCCAGGCAAGTTATAGAGTAGTACTTCGATTGGGCCACTATCGGCTTATGCCAAATCCTTTCAATTCATCACTCATATATCATTCTACCATTCGACGGTATATAGTCTAGCTACTGAGAGTGTCGTAAAGTAATCCATGTACATAGTCCATATGTAAGTATATACAAGTACTCTGTATTACTTCCAATATAAGACGCACATTGTACACAATTGTTCACGTTAAAAAATTGATGTGCACTTTCCATTTTTTCCTTAAAACCAACATTCAAAAACTATATGCGTCTTAAATTCGAGGGCACGTTATACTCGGAGTGATACGGTAGGTAATTGGACATACGTGGTGTGTTCAAAAAGTATCGAACCTTTCGTATACCTTTCGAATACATTTAGTGAAATTAAATGTTTCAAGGCCGACAGGACTCAGCTGTTAAACTTTGGCAGAGCATAAGGTCAAAGAACCATGTTGATCTCACACCTTTCTAAGTTATGTATTAGATGTCTCATGAAATAATTTGTGATATCACACCAATATTTAGTACGTATAAGCACGTTTTGTAAAATTACTTCCCCTCCCCACAAAATTCGCCCACATTTTTGGAAGACAAAGAAAGCGTCAAGACATATTTTAGGGACTTGAAATTTTCCTCGCAGCCGCGCATAACCAACTGGTGGGCCACAAGCGGCGCGTGTGCTGCCAGTTGGACATTCTTAGATTAGGACGTAATACAATTTCAAAAACAGAGAGAAAAAAAAAGAATTTAACTCCAAAAATAAACTTTATTTCTGAAATTTATTTGCTTCTGTTTACTGAAATTAAAAAGGAGAGGGTTGAACTAAATTACTTAGACCCTACACAATGAACCGAAAGGCATTGAATTTCTGAAGGGTCAGTTTACTTCATGAACTCTTTGAAGTCTGAGCGAGAGAGCAGGAGTAGTCTGCAGTCTAGATACAATTGTGAGTAAAATTTCCATAAGGCATCAATACGAGGCCCAACATGAAGAACTTCCTTGATTCTTGCCAGTAAGAAGATGGGAATAATGTTATTTTGTTTCTGTAGTTGCTTGAAGTCTGATTTTCGTTTAATTAAAATCTAAAGACTCTGTTCGTACCTCATAGGAGATGCATTGCATTTCAAGGACAAAGTCCAACCGGTTAATGAATGCTGTTTAGGGAAAAAGTCGCTGTTTACTGTGAGAACAGTACGGAACACACAGATACACTGCGTGGGCAGAATATATAGCAATTCAGTCCGTACCTCACAGGAAACACATTACGTCTCCGCTACAGAGCCCAACCGGTTAATGCTGTTTAGGGAAACAGTCGATGTTTACTGTGAGAGCCATACGGAACATACAGATACACTGTGTGGGCAGAATATATAGCAACTCAGTCCGTACCTCACAGGAAACACATTACGTCTCCGCTACAGAGCCCAACCGGTTAATGCTGTTTAGGGAAACAGTCGCTGTTTACTGTGTGAACCATACGGAACATACAGATACACTGTGTGTTTACTGTGTGAACCAATTCAGTCCGTACCTCACAAGAAACATATTACGTCTCCACTACAAAGTCCAACCGGTTAATGAATGCTGTTTAGGGAAACAGTCGCTGTTTACTGTGTGAACCATACGGAACATACAGATACACTGTGTGGGCAGAATATATAGCAATTCAGTCCGTACCTCACAAGAAACATATTACGTCTCCACTACAAAGTCCAACCGGTTAATGAATGCTGTTTAGGGAAACAGTCGCTGTTTACTGTGTGAACCATACGGAACATACAGATACACTGTGTGGGCAGAATATATAGCAATTCAGTCCGTACCTCACAAGAAACATATTACGTCTCCACTACAAAGTCCAACCGGTTAATGAATGCTGTTTAGGGAAACAGTCGCTGTTTACTGTGTGAACCATACGGAACATACAGATACACTGTGTGGGCAGAATATATAGCAATTCAGTCCGTACCTCACAAGAAACATATTACGTCTCCACTACAAAGTCCAACCGGTTAATGAATGCTGTTTAGGGAAACAGTCGCTGTTTACTGTGAGAACCATACGGAACACACAGATACACTGTGTGGGCAGAATATACGACTTTTGGATGTTGAAGCGTGTGGTACATTTAGTTACTTTTGCGCTTTAAATACACGTAGTAAAACAGCATTAATTTTCAATTTTAGTGTACTATGAAATTAAAAATATTTGAATTTTGAGTTTTTTACTGCTGTAACTGTTCATATTGTGGTCTTATGCAGCCTTATAGGAAAATACACTTTCTTACACTTTATACTTTAAATCTGAAGATTGAAACAGAATTTTCCTCCGAAATTTTGAATTCCGCACTTAATATCTTCTGCTGTTACAGTCATTCTGAACAGACCCCCCCCTTGCAAGTTGGTCATATTACCAAAATAATGCCACATCTTCCATATTTAGTCCTGAAGGTGGAAAAATGTCCCTCCAAAACATCGGTATCACAACACAGGTAGATGTGACTTACATGTGGTTGCCCAGCGGTGTCTAGGATCTCAAATAGTACCATCTCGTTGTCCATGACAGTGTGGAATGTGTACACTTTTTCCAAATTTGGATCATATTCGCCAATGTATCGGCGGGTGATGAACCGAACTACCAATGCTGCAACAACAAAAGTAGGCCTTTCAGCCAGAAATTTCCTCCAATTTTAAATTAAATCAGCAAAGCACAACTCACACTGAACATTTACCTTGATGAAACACCACGAAATTGACTATGAATACTAATACAAAAAAGGTAAAATTATCTCTGTAAGAGGCCGTGAAGGCCCATAGGGTTATGAGACGTCGAGGCTCCCACATTTTTTATACAGTCGGCTCACAGATGGCGGTAAGGTTGTCAGCCTTACGCGCCGGCCGCCCTTTACCCCCAGGAAGATTCCTGGTGCTCATTTCTGTTAAAGACTGAGATGACCCCATCGCCATAGTGCGGCTGGAAGGATTACGTAAATTGAAAAATCAAATGGCCTCATTGGGACTTGAACCTGCGACCTTTCAGCTTGTAGCGTAGTGCTTATAAGAAGCTTGCCCAAACAGTAAAAATTCTGACTTGTGCTGTGGACGTGCTCGGTTCAAATCTCATCCAGGGCACCGAATAACCTCACTGAGATTTCTCGTAATTTTCTCAGTCTCTCCAGGAAGATACTGGAATATTATTTTGAAAGTCGGGCTACGACCACTTTCTCGTTAGACGCTATACTCTCTGAGTTACTGACAATGAAGATTAGTTCTGAATAATCAATTAACTCATTTTCTGAATCGTTTTTTAAGAAGTTAGTAATTGCTCAGCTGTTAAAAATTTCAGAGCATTTTATGAAACCGGGAAGTTCACTACCGTGTGCACAAAAGCCCGTCACTGGTCCGTATCTCGAGCCAAACGAATGCAGTTCACACCTCTCCTCACTGTGTTACATTGAGATATTTTTAATAGTCATCTTTCCACTGTTCCTAGCTCTTCTAAGTAGTTTCTTTCCTTTACGTATTACTACCGAAACTTTTCATGCGTCTGTCTTCTATATCATGGGTGCTACATGCCCCGCCTAGCTTAACCTCAGTGATTTGATGATCCTAACAGTATCTCACCAGTAGTAATTGTTATGGGATTCCTCATTATTAAATGTTCTTCAGGTCAAAAATCTGTATTGTCACGTGTAGGGTGACTATAGATGGGGTTTGGGTTAGAGAATGGATTTATTGACAAATTATACATACGAATCGGAACCACAAGCAATTACAGTCTATCGCTGATCTCCACAATTTACAAACCACCACAGCACCTTCTGAGCCTTTGCCGGGCTGCTGTGTCTTTACCAGCCGTTACCTGTAAACAGCTTCTAACAGTAGAGATTCTTCAGCTGCATGCGCTCAAGTTTTCTCTTCACAGGCTCCCGTACAGAACTGACTATCAACTGACAACTAAGTGACTTGGTCGTTTCAGTTGTCTACAAGATAACTCCTCGGCACGGACCACGAAGAAAACACCGTTCATTCCCGTATGCTAACCGTTTCCTCGGCAATTTGTTCACATCACACAGCAACCGGTTGTGTAACATATTTTATTAAGAATCAGCTGCCCTAGCAGCGGGCGTCGTTTCGTGACCGTTGCCCAGCAACGAGTCTACACTCACTACAATATGTTTACAGAAATTTGAGGTTCTCACAGCGGTACCTTCTGTGATGTGACGTGGTGTAGTTCGGTAATACTTCCAGGGGTTTTAGTGGGTTACTTACTGCTTCTATCTTCAGGGTTGTAAATTGATCCAAGCAGGCAGAAACCTCGGTCATGAAGATGGATGCAGTATTTTCTTCTGAAATATTCCTGTATTTTTACCATTCTATATGACGTCACATTCCAGAAGATAGTGCTTTTCCTATATTAAGCTGTTTCCTTATGGTCTCAGATGACTTCTGTTCTCTTCAGTGACTTTAATTAGCAAGATGGCTTCCATAAGGGAATATACACGCCTTTTCCTCCATTAAGAAGTAATACTCTTGTGCTTCGACTTATTATACTGTCACCTGATTATGTTGGCCGTGACTAATGATATCAAGACGGCAGAGCGAGTTTGAAAAAGGAAAGAAGCATGTTAAATACCGCCCCCCCCCAGTTCCTGACTTTCAATTTACAGAATTCTTGAGAATTTTTAATCTCTATCTTCCCTCTTATTCGTCTCTCTCTGGTTCTGTTATTCTCCACGACTGTGATGTTTTTTCTTTCCTCCAACAAGTCAGCTATTTTGCACTGCCTGTAAAGGTAGACTTAGAAACGCTGTTTTCTCTTTAAAGCGTTTGAACTCTCTCCTGTTACTTCATAAACGAACTAACAGATGAAGCAAGAATATGCAATCGCTTTCATTAGTTAATTTAATCTCGTTTTCTTAAAATCCGTTTCTATTCAGCAGGTAACGTCGCTTTCTATACGTCATTCATTATCTGAGTGATGTTGGTAACACTGGGCAGCACATTCAGTCTGAATGGTTTGATTTTCCACCACCGGTGATTATGAGATGCCCTGCATTCAAGGATATAACGGCGTGTAATCTGATAGAGCTTCACAGAAGTTTCGGAGGAACGTACTGTTTCAATCTTCGGGGCAGAAGAGTACTCCAAATAGCCAATAACAAATAAACAGAAAACCTGAGTCGTCAGCTTGTTGCATTGTTTTTGTTCTTTACTTGCTTAATTTTACATTGAACACGGAAGCAGTAAATTCCTACGAAAAGTCAACAAACAGAAAGTAATGTTCAGTCACCGATATAAGAATCTCAAACCCAACGCGAGTTAATCTTCGCACGTTCTATTTACATGGTCGTTCCGTCTGTTCCTATAGGCCTATGCAGTAGCGGTCTGAATTTTATTACTAATTTACTCACAGAACTGATAAAAGTATTCATTAAAAGGGGCCCCGCTTGTGTAAAATCCAATAACACCAATACCAGAGAAGTGCAGGTTCGAAAATGCTCTCCTAAATAGGAGTTTCGCATGAAAATGATGACAGAGAGACTAAGGTTGTCAGATCCATCTACCGGAAGAATTAGAACTACGTGCACCCAGCATGAACAGTGTTCTCTTGCTGCACAGTGTTACCATAAGCTCACGCAGCAAAATTACAATATTATTCTGTCGTACAGACCAGTTGTTAGGCAAGGGCGTCGAAACAAACAACAAGACAACAGCCGCTGCTATGCAACGGCGGGGTAAACACGCCTCTACAACAATAGAGTTACTGTTGGAAACGGCGTCGTCTACTGGGTCCGTGCAAAAGGGTTATAAGGAAGATATTTGGGGCGACCCATGTGGAGGCGACGTCGAGTACCTCCATCGTAGCCCTGCGAGCCGTAGGAGGCGATGAAAATGGAACTCAGTGCCTGGGAGTATAATTGGGCCACCCTGTTCCTGGGGAATATAAATATGGGGACCTGACCCTCCAGGTTGGGGGAGTCCCGAAACTGAGACAGTAAAATGTGGTCATGAGTTACGCGGGACTCTGACCTGAGAATGACTGCGCTGGCGAGGACCAGCGGCAATTGTAAACGACAGGTATATCCTCTAGTCAGAGAGGTTGTTATGACCGCAAATGTTCAGTTGAAAAAAAAAACGTTAGTGGTCGTGAACCTCAAGGATCTTGTCGCCAAGACGAAATGATTGACGGCAAATCGCACAGTCACGGAATATCTCTGACCCAGTTGGTTGACTGATGGCGCTATAGTTCAGTTGTGGCCCGTTAAAGATCGAGCAACGGCGTGAGCACAGAAACTCAAGAATCTCCATTGTTAAGAACTGTTACCAAGCAACGACTAGTGAAGACACTCCAGTCTGGAGATAGCGTTTAGTGATTTTTAAAATTTAGAAACCAGAGAGAGCGCTCTAATTACTTGTAATTCCGAGTAGTGTGTGTAAGTAATCAATCAATCCATTCACCAGCCCATATCCCGCCTATAGTCACACCCCTAAAACGTCACATTGTACAGAGACAAGCATATTCAAGCCTATCGCTTGAATACGAACAAAATGCCTCGTTCCTCATCTTAAATCTCGCGGCGTGGGAGTTTTCTTTATGTCCGCAAGAAGCAGCGTCTTCTTCGGGAACTTCAGTATCTACCAGACTGTATGGCGTCGAAGCTTCCGCCACATTGTTCCATAAATTTACGTAACGCCTTGAGACCGGCTACACAAGGTCCCTGAGGAAATAATTATCGGCCGCTGAAGGTCAGAGGTCCTCGTGGGCTGCTTTGTTTTGGCGTATGAAGTCAAGATTAGCTGCATTCATTATGTTAACATAGGCGACACATGTAGTGGNTTACTTTTCGTAGCTAGGAACGTAATATCGATTACCGTGCGCGTTATTAATTCATAAATATAACTGAACAATATTATGTATTACGTAATATATATGGATATTAATCGAAATGGAATTTCGAACTATATCGAAAATATTCATAGCGATATAACGTCCAGTTATTTATTGAGTTATATTAAATTTTGAAAATTACAAGCAAAGAAAATGAAATTTGCCCCTTTGCTTGATTGAGCTCCACGCCACATATACATATGAAATTGGAGATATAGCTTCACGCATTAACCTCGGCATTTGGTGGAGGTGAGTAGTCAGCTTCATGCTTCGGCTGCCTTACCCCTAGGGAAGGGCCCGCGGTACCCATTACATAGGAGAGTGGGCCTCAGAGCCACTAAGGGAACTTGGAGAAGAGAAAGTTCTTTACACTACTAGGACTCGAACTCCGACCCCTCGGTCCTCCATCCCGTAGCCAGTCGCTCTATCGACTGAGCTACCTCTACTCGTCATTATGTTTATGCCAGTAATTAATCTCTTCTGACGTAAGCAGCAAAACATCAGTAAGCCTATCAATGGTCGGTCTCCCATCGTGCACTACTAATGAGAACCCATTGTTCCAGTAATTACCAACACAACAGCATATAAATTAACACCTAGGCTTGTCTGTTGTGTTCAAATTGAATATAAGCCATACTCGTCCATACTGAATATTCCAGATTGGCCTCAGTTGAACATTGCAGCCAGTATATTGCAGGGTCCCATATGTTCGGTTGACAGGACGTCTCGTTCGCTGTAACTACTGGACTATG